TTATTCAAGTTTTGGACCAAATATTACGTAACACTTTATCAAGGCTCTTTATTTTATCCATTAATCAAACGGAAATTTTAGTTTCGCTTAAAGAGAAAATGACCCTCCCCTTTCCAGTAAGTTCAATTATTGGCTTAAGGGATTAGTATAATGTTCTTAAGGTTTCTGAAAAAAAAACCAAACTAATTAGATGTCTGTAGACTTAGAAAAACTGGAACGCAGACACGTCTAATATCACACGCAACCGTAAGTGTAGTCTGTCTTGTAATTTCATATATTTTGTTTTGGAAATAGCTCCCTTGCTGCAATCGTTGTCGCAGATGTCATTTTTCCCTCCAGGCACCCTCAGCGTCGCCCTTCCTTCCCCCCACCCACCTTGCTTCCTTTTATGGCCTCAATAATTAAGCACGGAGGAGCTTCTTACCCTCCACACCTTAACATCAGTATGTAAATTCTCCATACTGTTCCCTTCACATTCTCGTAACCTTGATGTTTGATGCAGGGTGACAATGTGAGGGGCAATTCCATGTTTGTCACCCTTTGGGGTTAGGGGATTAACAATCGGAGGAACTAAACACGAGAAAACGTGTTTTCGTGAGGAAAGCCTACATGTACGGGTTCAATAACTGGAGTGGCTTACGTACTTAATTATCACTAACGTTAATTGGAAATCCTCAATTCTCGAGATTGCATTGGTAATTCTCTCTCTTAGCAGCTACATATTTCCTTGTAAAAGATTTAGGAGAAGTTTGTGTTTCATCAAAATGACAGCCTGAAAGGCTTGTCGGCTTGAATCACGTTTTTGCTATATATCGTATTAATATTGTTAGGATCGAGAAGTTATACGTCATTCACCTCTGGGAGTCGTAGAGTGAAATATTTATGTCCATCGGGTTTTGATTTGATCTTCCATTTAATGAACTCAAATTGAACAAATTCGTAAAAAACCAAAAACTTTTATCAAGAGCTAAAACCGTGGTGGAAAACAGTTAAGTGAAATTTCTAAATGCAGTCTAACACTTAAACGAGCACTATTGAAAACAAATCGCTTTAATTAAATTAGTAAGGATTACATTTAAGCCTTTTAGCCTCGAAAACAATGGTAAACAAAAAAACAGGATGTAGTGTCAAGTTACCTGAGTGTGTAATAAAGACTCCCGGAAACTGTCTGAGCCAATGTAAGATTGCCCTCCAAATCAATGCGGCCCGCGTCCCAAAGTTCTTTCCAAGCCTCAATGTGACTCTCAAGGAGCTTTTCCGGTTGTTCCATAGCATCTTTATAAGCTTGATGCGCGCTCGTCAAGAAATCCTTAGCGTCTAAACTAGTCGCTATTGCCGTGATAAAGTAAAAGGTTTGGATCTCCGAAGAAGGACGGATGTCTAAACGAGGGGGTATATCCCCCCAGACAACAGCGACCCCCTCCTTCGGACTGGTCGGCTCCTCTGTTATCTTAATGTACCCAGATATGGAATTGATCTTAAGGTCATCCAGAGATTTACGTGGAAAATCATCTCTTTTGAAATCAATATCAACGCTCGGCGGTCCGTAAACATTGGTCATAAACAAACTTACTGTGTCGCGCATGTTGTTTCGAAAGGCTATCTCCGTGACAAGCAAATGCTGGTGAACCCGATGAGCATACATTCGCTGTTCTAAGGTAAAGTTATCCACGTGAAGCCTGTGATAGAACACCCCTTGTGCCACATTAAGGCTGAAGAGCTCTTCAGTGGCATTAGAGGAGAGATTGGTTCGTACGACGATCGCCGACGTGGAAGGAATTCTCGCCCTGTGACTCGGAGTTTCTGTCCCACGCCCGTTGAAGATCCCAGAGACATAAACCGTGTCGCTGTAAACTGCAGTGGCCAAATATCCATTACCAACACTCGGGTTCAATCGAGGATCATATGGTAGGCTCGATGACTCGAAGTTTGTTGCATTTGGCGTAGCATGAACAGTTTGACAGAAGCAAACCATTGACAGAGCGACAATAAATTCATTTGCCGACGCCATGCCTCTGGCTTGTCGGTGGTTTATCTGGGATTTTTACGGCCGTAATACAGGTCGGTATCTCCCTTTTACTATTGATACTTTGTCTAATTTTGACGATTTCCGTGTTTAATGACTCGAAGGTAAAGTTCCCTCTGGCATTACGTTGAACGCTGCTATGCGCATGACCTTCATGTGATGCGAGCAGTTGAATTATTAACTTTCACAAGGTTCTAAACTCTTTCCTCTAAATGAAAATAAACCTAATAACGATAACAAAAGAACTATAAGTAACAAAATAAGAAACAAACGCGCATAAACTATCCAAGGGCAAAAGTTATCTTCCACTTAAGTGGATGCCATTATATCCAGTGCTCGAGTAGAGAATTATGCGACAAAGTTCACGCCCTTGGTTTGCAGAGGGAAAATATCGGGGAGGGGGG